TAAATAAATCTATGATTGCGAACCATCAATAAGTCTACCAACCACTTAATAAATCTACCAGTAGCAAATAAATTTAACATCACATGAACGGTAAACTTATTCGCTTTTGGCGGGAAAATTTTGCTGCCTCACTAATGGCAGTTTCGTAAATACATTTTTTATCTTCAAAAGAAATAAGGCTAAAACGGGTATAATAAATATTTCAAAGTTGTTTGAGTAATATTAAAAAATGAGCATCATTTTGGTCAAAATCAATTTTCCAAAGTTGTTTTAGTCAAGCTCCTTTAATTAAACGAACATGTTTTTAACTGAAAGGAAATTAAGACACTCTTTAAGAAAGAGTCTCTTGAATGTTATTAGGACATGGTGCTTACATGAACACGTCTCGTGACTCGTGATGCTTAAACATCTCTTGTGGTTCAAATAACAAGATCTCCATAAAATCAAATAAACAAAAAAGGATAAAAGGCTATGAAAAATGGTGTACTCGATTTTATTAACAGAATAAAGAATCAAAAACTCAAATAATAAGTTGTGTAGTAAGAGCATATATATATGAACATTGTACATAGAAAAAGAGAAAGTTGACTTCTTTTTGTTTAATCATCTATAAGCAAGAAGCCAAAGTGGGGTAAGTGACGAAATGACCATTGTGAACAAAGGCAGGCTAAAATAACAGAGCTGGTATTTCCAACACTCTGTTTCAAAACTGCAGCTTCCTAAATCCCCAAACTATAAAACTGTTATTCCCGCAAAGGACGAGGCTCCTGCTAGAGAAAAAGTCGTTGTTACCTAAACCGTGAAAGACATAACAAGATGGTTTAAGTTTTATGAACCTTGTGTCACTAATTTAGAGAAAGAGAGAGAGATACTTACCCAATTCCCAACTACAAAGAGATTGAGTAAAACCGGACTAAGAAGCGTTTTATTTCTCGCTAAGGGGAAGGTGTCTAGTACTGCAAGAGCGAAACGCCATATGACTTGCAAACCCATTGCTGCAATTAGGTAGCTGCAACCAAATTTCCACGCGTGAGAACAAATAGACGGAATAACAAAATACTTGAAAAAAGTTCACATATTATTTCTTCTAGATATGCTTGAGAATCCTTTATTGTCACAGAATCAAAGATTCACCAATCATACGGTAACATTAATTAAGAACTCATTTCTAAACTAATCAAACATATAAAAGAGTTGAGTTCTCCTCGTCAGAGATCAAACGACGACGGCAGCATGATTGTCTCGACAAAGGGGGAAGAAGATGAGGTTGTAGTAGATTTGCAGTAGGGGCAAAAATATCTCAAATGCTTCTACATTGTTATTTGCCTAAAAATGCTATTATCATGGCTATATTGTTAAT